AAAACCAACATGTCACATCTTTAAATGTATAGATTATTTTATATACACTCTTACTAAGTTATAATTTTTGTACATAAGTTCAGTAATAAAGCTTGAAGTAGAGAGTGCAAAATCCAGTACAACGCTGCATAGAAACCAATCAGCTTCCAGTTTTTTTTTTTTGTCAAAGCTTAAGTGAACAAGCTGAAGTTAGAAGCTGATTGCTACCATGCAGAGCTGCATCAGATTTTGCACTTTCCAGTTTTAGTAAATCAACTCCTATGAGTTAGAAGATGAAAAATATGTTTCCTCTCAGTATTGAAGACCCCTTGGCCAAATGTCTGGCACTGGGTTTCAAGCACCTACATATAATGTACCAGTGCAGAGCTGGTCTCCATGTGAACAGTGGTGTCCCAGCCAGCTCACTTATGTTCATCATCTGAAGATTATTACTACTTTAGACACTGGGATAAGTTTTATGGCTGTTTGCCTACTTTTGATTGACTTTTTTCTGAACTTATGCCAGCTGGTATTATATGATTTGATAGTCAGCATAGTGGCTAAATGAGTCTGATGTATAGGATGTCTTAATCTGATGTACAGGATGGCCTTGGCTGCTTCTCCAGCCATGCTTTCTGACGAGTCAGAGGGCATGGACAAAGTAGCGGCTGAGGCCATATTTTGCATCTGACTCCTTGGACTCGTTTTGAGTGGTGTCCATTTTCTCACTGGATTGGAGCTACTGAGGCACCTTGGGACATTGCTCCCTTCTTCAATATACTGGAGGGGTAACTTGTCTTTATTGTCGGGCTTAGAGCTGCACTACAAGCTAACTTTGCAGACAGTTGCTAAGTGGTTAGCACTTCTGCCTGGCAGCACTAGGGCCATCGGTTCAAATCCCAACCACATCACTACCTGCACATGTCACACACGTGCAGTTTGCATGCACTTAAGTTTGCATTTTTTCTGTGCCTTCGTGGGTTTTCTCCAGGTACTCTGGTTTCCTCCTACACTCCAAAGGCATGCTGGTAAGTTAATTGGCACTTGTCTAAATTGTCCCTAGATCTTAGATGGTATACTCCTTGAGAGTTAGGGACTGATGTGAATGTACAATGTATATATATATACACAGGTGAAACTCAGAAAATTTGAATATCATGCAAAAGTTCATTTATTTCAGTAATGCAACCTAAAAGGTGAAACTAATATATGAGATAGACTCATTACATGCAAAGCAAGATAGTTCAAGCCGTGATTTGTCATAATTGTGATGATTATGGCTTACAGCTCATGAAAACCCCAAATCCACAATCTCAGAAACTTAGAATATTACATGCAATCAATAAAACAAGGATTGTACATAGAACAATATCGGACCTCTGAAAAGTATAAGCATGCATATGTACTCAGTACTTGGTTTGGGCCCCTTTTGCAGCAATTACTGCCTCAATGCGGCGTGGCATGGAAGCTATCAGCCTGTGGCACTGCTGAGGTGTAAAGGAAGACCAGGATGCTTCAATAGCGGCCTTCAGCTCTTCTGCATTGTTCGGTCTCATGTCTCTCATTTTTCTCTTGGCAATGCCCCATAGATTCTCTATGGGGTTCAGGTCAGGCCAGTTTGCTGGCCAATCAAGCACAGTAATCCCACGGTCATTGAACCAGGTTTTGGTGCTTTTGGCAGTGTGGGCAGGTGCCAAGTCCTCCTGGAAAATGAAGTCAGCATCCCCATAAAGCTTGTCTGTGGAAGGAAGCATAAAGTGCTCCAAAATCTCCTGGTAGACGGCTGTGTTGACCCTGGACTTAATGAAGCACAGTGGACCAACACCAGCAGATGACATGGCTCCCCAAATCAACACAGACTGTGGAAACTTCACACTGGACTTCAAGCATCTTGCAGTGTGTACCTCTCCATTCTTCCTCCATACTCTGGGTCCTTGGTTTCCAAATGAGATGCAAAAGGTGCTTGCATCAGAATAGGGACTTTAGACCACTGAGCTACAGACCAGGTCTGTTTTTTTTTAGCCCAGGTAAGACGCTTCTGACGTTGTTTGTTGTTCAGGAGCGCCTTGACGAGGAATACTACATTTGAAGCCCATGTCCAGGATCCGTCTGTGTGTGGTGGCTCTTGATGCAATGACTCCAGCCTCAGTCCACTCCTTGTGAAAGTCCCCAACACTTTTGAATGGCCTTTTCCTGATAATCCTCTCCAGGCTGCGGTCATCCCTGCTGCTTGTGCACCTTTTTCTTCCACACTTTTCCCTTCCACATAACTTTCTATTAATGTGCTTTGATACAGCACTTTTGGAACATCCAACTTCTTTTGCAATTAGCTTTTGAGGCTTTCCCTCCTTATGGAGGGTGTCAATGATGGTTTTCTGCACAACTGTCAGGTCAGCAGTCTTTCCCATGATTGTGATTCCTACTGAACCAGACTGAGAGACCATTTAAAGGCTCAGGAACCCTTTGCAGGTGTTATGGCTTAATTAGCTGATTAGAGTGGGACACTTTGAGCCTAGAATATTGCACCTTTTCACAATATTCTAATTTTCTGAGATTGTGGATTTGGGTTTTCATGAGCTGTAAGCCATAATCATCACAATTGTGACAAATCATGGCTTGAACTATCTTGATTTGCATGTAATGAGTCTATCTCATATATTTGTTTCACCTTTTAATTTGCATTACTGAAATAAATTAACTTTTGCACGATATACTAATTTTTTGAGTTTCACCTATATATATATAAGGGTTAGGGACTGATGTGAATGTACAATGTGTATATATATATATATATATATATATATATATATATATATATATATATATATAAATTGTGCTCAAAAGTTTGCATACGCTTGCAGAAATTGTGAAATTTTGGCATTGATATTGAAAATATGACTGATCATGCCAAAAAATGCTCTTTTATTGAAGGAAGATGATCATATGATATGAAGCCATTTATTATCAAATAGTTGTTTGGCTCCTTTTTAAATCATAATGATATCAGAAATCACCCAAATGTCCATGATCAAAAGTTTATATACCCTGGAATGTTTGGCCTTGGTACAGACACACAAGGTGACACACATGGGTTAAAATGCCAATTAAAGGTTAATGTCCCACATCTGTGGTTTTTTAAATTGCAATTAGTGTCAGTGTATAAATAGTCAATGAGTTTGTTAGCTCTTACATGAAAGCACTGACTGGGCTAGATACTGAGCCATGGGGATCAGAAAAGAACTGTCAAAAGCCCTGCGTAACAAGGTCATAGAACTTTATAAAAGATGGAAAAGGACATAAAAAGATGTCCAAAGCCTTGAATATGCCAATCAGTACTGTTAAATCACCTATTAAGAAGTGGAAAGTTCTGGGATCTCTTGATACCAAGCCAAGGTCAGGTAGACCAAGAAAGATATATATACTGTATAGGTGTAAAGAGCTGCGTAATTGACGGCACTGTGTAAGTATTAGACTTTCTTTCCTTTATTTCATCTGATAATCCTGCCAGTAGGTCTGTTATTTTTTAACAGACCAAGCTGTTCTGAAGATGTAGCAGTTAGAAGGTTAAGATTAAATAATTACCACTGACAACAGTGCTTACAATAACCAGATTTTATTTATTTATTTATGCATGTAGAAAATCTTTATCTCAAAAGAAGAAAAAAAAAAACGTTTGTTGTAACATCTTATACAGTGTTAACTGGAGTTTGGCTTCATATTTGTTAGTGTATTTAAATATGCTAGTACATCTAACACTCCCCTCCCCCCACTGCGGTCCTGAGGTGTCTCTATTGCTCATTAATTCAGAGTGTAGGCATTTTAATACAGGAAGTACGTGTGTTTACTGACCAGATCATGAGGTGAAACCAGAAGGAAAATGGCTCTTGTCTAAATTGGCCCTAGTATGTGTTGTATGAATGTGAATTAGGGACCTTAGATTGAACACTCCTTGAGGGTTAGGGACTGATGTGAATGTTATATATATACTGTATATATGTGTAAAGAGCTGCGTAAATTGATGGCACTATATGTCAGGAATGGACTGGCCAGCAATGGTGGGACTCACCTGCCTTTTGATCTGCAGTACCAGGGCTGGCCAGCGGGTGCTTCCAGCAATCAGAGACTCAACTTTGCAGCCAGCTAACACCTGGAACTGATTATGCTGGGGTATTTAAGGGATGGCCAGACCCACAGACTCTGCCTTGGTGTGTGTTTGTCCTGGGCCCTGTATCTGTCCTGCATCCTGTTTCTGTTCCTTTGCTGACCCTCTGTACTACGCTGCTTGCTACCTGTTCTGATCCCTGGCTTGTGACCCTGACCATCCCTCTGCTTGACCCTCTGTACTACGCTGCTTGCTACCTGTTCTGATCCCTGGCTTGTGACCCTGACCATCCCTCTGCCTGACCCTCTGTACTACGCTGCTTGCTACCTGCTGAACCTGGCCTGTGACCCCGACCATTCTCCGCTTGCTCCCCCTGTACCTACCTGCCCAATTGATATTGACCCGGCCTGCCTGACGACGCTTGCTTGTATGTACTGTTATCTGTGGGTGGTTGGTTTTGGTTTGTTTGCACTGTATTATGTTTAGTATTGCACTGCGTTTATGTTTGTATTGTTAGTGTTAATAAATTATATTGTTTATCCCATATCTGAAGTCTGCGTTTCCCTGCGTCAGTCACACATCTCTGGTCATACCTGGGAGCCCTGACACTATATAAGTACCTGAAATAAATAAAATATACGAGCAGGGCCCTCCGTTTCCTCTTGTACCAAATTGTATTGTAACGTGTACCTTCATTTTGTAAAGTGCTGCACAAGCTGTTGGCGCTATATAAATCCTGTATAATAATAATAATATTAAATAATAATATATACCTTATAAGACGCTAATAACGCTAATCTAACGTTTAACCAAGCTCTCTTGGTTTTGGACATATATCACATACAGGGCTTAAAATTTGAGCTACTAGCCAGGCCTTAGAGTTACTCACCACCAACAAACACACACAAACAGAGACACCTGTACACACACACAGACATGTACATACACACAGACATATACACACACACAGAAACATGTACACACACGCACAGAAACACATGTACACACACACACATACAGACACATGTATACAGATACATGTGCATACACAGAAATACACACGCACAGACACATGTACATACACACAGACACATGGACACATGTACATACAGACACATGTACGTGCATACACACAAACACACACACACATGTACACGTACACACACACACACACAGCCCTATAAAAAATTGCAGTACTTCGTTGCTCACTCACAGAGCCGGGTACTGCACTCTAGGGGGAGGCAGAGAGCACAGCACACACTCCTTCCTTTGCTTTCACTGTGCTCAGCTATTGAGCAGTCTGACGGTTCCCAGTGCCAATGACAGATCCAGCCTGAGCTTCGAACCTGCTCAGCAAGACGGCCCTGGGGGACACACTCGCCCCTACCATAATTTCCACTCGCCATTGACGAGCAGGCGAGTGGAAATTTCAAGGTCCGACATATAGGGTAAAATATATATGGTACATTGGGTCAGTATTAGGGAGGTCATTGAATATCAATCTTGGCCAATGTTTTAGTAGTTTTTGATTTTAGAATGCATTGATTAATAAAGTGTAGCTTATTTCTGATTATCAAAACCTGCTCTGGTATGTTGTGTTAAGATTTCTTGTTAATAACCTACAGGGGTTGTAGTGAGAACTAGTGTTTTTATTGGAGGTTTATTAATAATATAACAATCAATACAAGCTAAATTTTAAAACTTTTCAAAACTTTTAATGAATTGAAAAAAAGCCTTGCATAAAATAAGTTTTCCCCTAGCCTTAAATCAACTAGCCATCAGATTTAGACATAGAAGGTTTTTCTCCTTTATTTAGACAGATGTTTTTGAATACAGCTTAGGACACTGTCAAGAAAGACACTCACACACTGGCAGATTTTACCTCAAGTGGCACCTAGGAGCGAGAAGTCCCCTTTGGTGAAACAATCAACTAGAATCAATCAAAAATCTCTTCTCAGGCTGTCTGGGTAAATTTCTGCTTTTAAATGATACCAATCACATCCCTGCAGTTTTTTCAGAATACTTTCAAGTATTGAGGCTGGCGCGTATGTAAAAATCCCTGATCTCCAGACAGTATTAGTTATTCATAAGCTCAAAGGACATGTAGCCTGCAGATTTCAATCCCGTCTTCTGGTGTATGCATGACTAAGCTTACACAGCTAAGGCAAACATTACTTATTATTACAGATAAAAGACAAAATTTAATGGCTAAGCCTGGCAGCATTTTTAGCTTTGTCTTCCTACATAAAAGAACACAGCTTTTAAGCAGTACACCCCAACCCCCATTCCATTTTTTTTAAAGAAAAGCTTTCAACCTTTTTTTAAATCTGATGCATAACTTTATAACCCCTATGGAAAAATAATGTATTCCGATCAATGCCTTTTCAAGTATCATGAACTGCATATTTAAAAAAATGTAAAGTGAATCTGTGTTTTGCACATGCAAGAAATAACAGCAGGTTTATTATGCCCCTTATATTACTATGCCCCTTGTCCAAAAAGCTTTCACTTACCTTCCTCTTTGCTCACCTGTTGATCCATCTGTCAGTGTTAACAAGGAGAGCTCAAGCTCAGAGCTCTAGATCAAAGCCTACACAGGTCTTACTCCTTCCCAGTGCATGTTGGGGGGAAGGGGGTGCTGGCCATTGGCTACTCAGCACCCAACAATACATTATAGCAATAAGAACATTCTGTTCTGCACCAAAGACTAATGATTCACTATGGGAGATTTACTAAAACTGGAACACTCAGGATCTAGTGCAACTGTGCATAGTAACCAATTGTCTTCTAGGTTTCATTGTCAAAGTTTAATTGAACAAGCTGAAGTTAGGAGCTGATTGTTTACTAAGCACAGTTGCTCCAGATTCTGTGTGCTCCAGTTATAAATCTCCCCCTTTGTGTTGCAGACTTGTCAGGATATTTGGAGATACAAATTTTGCTTAGCCAGAAAACACTTAAACTGTGCTTTATTGATAACATCTGTGCTGAAAATTTAAAGTGGGTAGCAGTAGTGGCTAAATGGTTAGCACTTCCACCTGGCAGTACTAGGGTTGTTGGTTTGAATCCCAACCACGGCACCACCATCCAGGAGTTTGCGTGTTCTCCCTGTACCTGCGTAGGCTTCCTCCGGGTACTTCGGTTTCCTCCCACACTTCAAAGTGTCAGGGATCTCGGGCTGGACCGCGGTGCGCGAGCATGCGCGGTATGCCGGGGCGCACTAGCACTAGGCACTAAGACCTGGGCGCCTGCAACAGCGCTTGCGCATGCGCACTTGTGGACGCGCGCCTGGCACCAATAGGAGCGCAGGGAGCCCTAGTTAAACAGGCTCTGACTGTGTTTTAATTGCCGTATGGTCTTTTCCTGTATCCTGTGTCCTGAGAGATTGCTTTGCTGCCGACCCTGCCTGACCCTGATTTGTTGAATGTCTCCTGCTCTGACCCCTGGCTTGCCTGCCCATTCTACTGTCTAATCCTGTGCCTTTGATCTCCTGTTGCCAAACCTGGAACGTGACCCATGTATTCTTCTGCCTGCCGCTTGTACCGACCTGTCTCCGCTGTTACCGACCTGGCCTGTCTGACTTCGCTCACTCCGCCTCCTCGCATCAGACTCTCACCTGCTACGTACCACCGACAAGTGCCTCTACCACAGCTGGTTGCACCCAGGCTCCGCGACTGGTTTCGGCTTGCTCCAAGTCCATCCCCAACATCAGGGGCCCTGGTGAACAAGCAGGTCGGGACTTAGATTCCGTGCCCTGGGGAATTCTGATCTGTGGAGCGCTAGAGACTACCGCTGGTCGGTCCATAACACAAAGACATGCTGATAGGTTAATTGGCTCCTGTCTAAATTGGCCCTAGTATGTGTATGTATGAATGTAAGTTAGGAACCTTAGATTGTACACCCCTTGATGGTTAGGGGCTGATGTGAACGTACAATATATATGTAAAGCACTGCATAAATTGATGGCGCTATATAAGTACCTGAAATAAATAAAGTGATAATAAACTCCAAAGCAAACATTTATTATATTGTAGCTTACCAGTTCCTACATGTGCTGGCTGCATTCATTTCTTTTTTAGATTTTCTTTCCTTTATTTTCATCTGACGATCCTGCTAGTAGGTCTGTTATTTGTTAACAGACCAAGCTGTTCTACAGATGTAGCAGTTAGAGCAGGGCTTCTCAACTAGGGTTCCTCCAGAGGTTGCTAGGGGTTCCTTGAGCAATGAGCAATTTCTGCCTTTCAGATAAGTTCCCACTGACACCACTGATCTTTTTAGCTATCTTTAAGGGGGTAATTCTTCCCAGTAACCACACGTATTTGGAGCATTCTTCCTACTGATCATCACATTAATGTATCATGAGTTGTAGATATAGTCATTTATAGCAGTGGTTCCCTGAGACTTGAAAGTTATCTTAGAGGTTCCTTTGTCTCAAAAAGGAGTTAGAGGGTTGAGACAAACTATTTACCACTGACAACAGTGCTTACAATAGTCAGCTTTTATTTATTTATTTATGTAAAAAGTTTCATTCCAAAAAGAAAAAAAAAAACTGTTTGCTGTAACATCTTATTAAATGTTATCTGGAGTTTGGCTTCACTGTGTTAGTGTATTTAAATATGGTAGTGCACCTAACACTCCCCTCCCACTGCTGCTGTCCTAAATTGTCTCTATTGCTCCTTCATTCAGTGTGCAGTATTTTAATACAGGAAGTACGTGTGTTACCGACCCAGGGGTGGACTGACAACTCATGGGGCCCCCGGGCAATAGGGAATCATGGGGCCCCTGTGCCCTTGCCCAAACTCAAAAAAGCCTATGAAAAAGGTACCAGGGGCATCTCATGGGGCCCCCTACTGACCCCGGACCCTCGGGCAGTGCCCGAGTTTCCAAATAGTCAGTCCGCCCTTGTACTGACCAGATCATGAGGTGAAACCAGAAGGAAAACAGCCTAAAAAATAAAACTATTACAGCCTCTGCATCTAATGCTTGTTAAGCTGCATTATATTATGTTTTTGATTTGGGGTTTAATACCACTTTAAAGCAGACCATTTAAAAGTGAAAGTGCCACTCATCTCCCTCTACACCCCCCCCCCCCCCCCCGTGACATATTTTTGAATGACTCTTACAAAATGTAACCATGGGTAAACATTTTTGTTGTTGTATTACTTTTTAATACTTTTAATAGCAGATACCTATAGGTGACTGTGTACCACATCAGATCCTGGACTGTCCCCTGCAACCCTGAAAACCCTAAGTGAAAGTTCTAACCCCCCTTGTAATAGAGTGTGTCCTCTGTTGATTAGAATTTTCCACCCCTTGTCCGCCCTTTGTCCATCCCTTGTGGAATTGACTAGTCACTCAAATTCTTGGTAGATAGATAGGAATAAAGTGGAAATATATGGCAGAATATGTCCAAAACAAATTGAATGCTGGAGAATGCTTCCTGTAAAACTGCTCTGCGATAGGTTTATGTGCAAGCTTACATTCAGAAATTTACCATGTCTTTGGAAAAACTATGGATGAGATCAGGGGCGGACTGACCATTTGGAAACTCGGGCACTGCCCGTGGGCCCGGGGTCAGTAGGGGGCCCCATGAGATGCCCCTGGTATCTTTTTCATAGGCTTTTTTGAGTTTGGGCAAGGACACAGGGGCCCCATGATCCCCTATTGCCCAGGGGCCCCATGAGTTGTCAGTCTGCCCCTGGATGAGATTGTCTGTTTAATAATGTGTAAACCTAAGTTCAGTAAATGTTTTAACTCAGTGGTACCTCTGTGATGTGTTTGGTGAGGACTATCAACACAAGTAAGCCACGTTCAGCTTGGTGAAAATCAATACACAGCTGTACGTTAATCGTTTAGGTTGCTGCCATAAGTAAAAGACTAGGCATTTGTTCTTTCTTAAAGGTTTACAGTATAACTAATACCTGAGGAGTATGGACATTGCAATCAATTCTCGTAAGGAATAAGTAGTGGCCTAATGGAGGAGGATCCACCAGGTAATAGGAAAGGTTCAGTAACAAAATAAAATAATTACTCATGTACGTGGGTGTGATAGTCCAAGGTAAATCGACGGGTTCCCCTATGAACCTACATCCATGGATATTGAGACCTTGCTGCCCTCCTACAACCAGGGGAATCCAGAAATACTACAAAAGATCAAAGAAAAGAAAAAGAAGGTGCACCAGCCTAGTGCATTATCCCCATGGGTTTATTAGTAGTATGAAGAGCTAAAAACATACTCACAAACATAAGTAATATATGGCATGTGAAACCAACATTCATGGCACAAATGATATAAAGACCCAAGTGGACCCAACGACAGCAGAAGAGCCATCCAGGATCCAAGACATCTTATGTGTTTCGTGGATATCCCCTCTTCATCAGAGCTCTTATCTAATGGGTCTCGGTTGTTCTGTAGGATCCGTGCAGACTTGGTCTGGAACCACTGGAAGAGGAGTGATCTCTTGTAAGTGAATAAGTGTATGATTCCTCATATTGCCCTAGGACTTAATAGAGCCTGGAACCTGAACTGAATCTGCAAGATGGTTAGTGGGGTCTCAGAACGACCATTGCTGAAAATGTAACTGTAACCAACTGCTACTCCCTGCTTCACTATTAATTATTGGGGCACCCATCATATTAAATGGCTGAGAGCAAATATCATAAAGCATCATAAGAAGCAGCAGACTCGAAAGTCTATAAATACATGGACCTGAGGTTTTGGCATACATGTGTTCTATACTGGGATCATATTCATTATATGTAAGGATTTAAACAGAGCTTATAAGCAATAGTTTAAAATTGCATCCAATGTTGGAATGCATTATAAATCTGCCATGTTTGTTTGCCTCTATAGTATATGAAGGACAACATGCATCATAAGCAGGCTTTTGGGGTCAAAGATGGGCCAAAATTATGTGAAACAATATCTTTTCTCCTAAACATTGCATCCGAGAACCAAGCACACAAATTGCTGAGTAATTTTTATCAAAACAAATTTATTGCTCAGTTATCTGTCCATGTTTCTGATGTGCATTTTTGAATAAAAAGAGCATCATTTTTTTCCTTCTTCTTTAAATAGTTATTTGGCACTTGCTATATTTCTATGGAGCTGATGACAAGCAACACAAAGAGCAAGTCAACTGTAGATTGCAATGTCCTTATGTTATAACACCATATGAGCAATCGAAAAATTCATAAAACATATGGCTCATCTACTTGCTATTATACAAGTTTTGACATGAATTCATATGAGTTATTTCAACAGCCTTTACTGGGCACCTTGAATGTAGCCCATCTCTAAATGTGAAAAATGCATTTGAACCAAATAAGCATATTTACTGTATTTTTGAAAAATGTATTAATATATTTTTTTGTATACACACATAAATAATGTTTGCAAGAACAGTAAAATGTAACCGCTTCCCCACCGTCCTATAGTTAAACTACTGCTACAGGGCAGAAGGGCTATATATACGTGAATTTGTAGAGGGCATGCATGCACCCTCTACTCGCGCTGCCATTGGTGGCTATAGCTGTCGATCACCAGGTCCTGGCTGGAGATTCCCCGCGGCACCAGGAAATCGGTGAGGAACACTGATGGGGGAGAGGTCTGTATGTAAACAATACAGATATCTCCCTTGTCAGCACCGCAGGCTACTTTGTATTTCTCTGCATAACTTACACAGTAAAACACACACACAGCACACAGTAAAACACACACAGCACACAGTTAACCCTTTGATCACCCCCACATGTTAACCCCTTCCTGCCCAGTGTCATTAGTACAGTGTCAGTGATTTTTATCAGCACTTATCACTGTATTAGAGTCACTGGGGATGTCAGTGACAGGTAGTCAGTTCCCTCCCCAGTGTCAGAATGCCCGCCGTAGTCCCGCTATAAGTTGCTGATCGCCGCCATTACTAGTATGAACATTTTTTTTTTAAATTCCAGCAGCTATACTGCCATTTGTACGTGCTATAACTTTCATGTAAACCAATGTAAATTAATATGTATTGGGATTGTTTTTAGCAAAGACATGTAGCAGAATACATTTTGGCCTAAATTTATGACAAAATTTGATTATTTTTTTACTGGATATGTTTTATAGCAAAAAGTCAAAAATATATATATTTTTTCAAAATTGTCAGTATTTTATTGGTTATGGTGCAAAAAATAAAAACTGCACAGGTGATCAAATACCACTGAAAGAAAGCTCCATTTGTGGGAGAAAAGGTGTAAATTTCCTTTGGGTGCAGTGTTGCATGACCACGCAATTGTTAGCTAGCCTCCCTAGCGGTCTGATTATGTCATTATTTCTGTGTTCAAAGCGATACATTTTTTGCATGGACATATGTAGTTTTTTTATTGTAGGCCTGTAATTTTTAGGAATAACTCACTGAAATCTGTCCAAACAAGAGTCTAGTAAACATCCCGGGTATGTTAAAATTTGAAACACTAAATCATAAATTATAATTTAATAAATAATCACAAAAAATAATATAATAATAAATTTAATTCAATAATATAATCAAACCAAAAACACTGAAATTTGAAATATAGCGCCAAGTTCGCACATCACTGAGCAAAGTCGCAAAATAGTTTTCAGTGCCTGATGACGAATTTCCCCACGAATCATTATCACTCAATTCTGCAAGTGGTTCTGATTTACTATCGCTGTTCTCTAGCTGGTCTAAAACCGCTTTTGACCTAAAGGGATGCTTTTTGGACGCCACGGATATTTCTCAGTTTCCAGGCAGAAAGAACAGTAAAAATGCAGGCAGGGCACAGGACAAAGCTTTCGGGGAAAAATGTATGTGAAATGCTTTGATACAGTAATGTTTTACCATGTGATTTTAGTGTATTGAGTGAATGTCACTTTTTGACATTTTTAAATTTCCCGCCAGTTCCGTCCCCGTAGGTGCTGACGTCGCAGGGAACGGAACTCAGAAGACAGATGCCGACATTGGCCAGAAGACATTGCCGGGGATGCTGCAGGGGGGACATCGCGGGAGCGAAGGACAAGGTAAGGGATCGAGGGATCCCGGAGCAACGCTGCTGGGTATTCCCAAGTGTAGCTCGGGGTTACCACTTGTGGTGCTGAAACTTTACCCCGAGCTACACTTGGGAATACCGCCAGGGAGCATAAAGTAACACAGTGCCGTATCACAAAAAATGGCCTGGTCAGGAAGGGGAGTAAATCCTCTGTAGGGCAAGTGGCTATAAATGAGGCTCATGTGATGAGATTAGACATCTGAGTTAACAAATGCTGTGTTCCAGAAGGACATAGGATGCAAGCTTATGCTATACCACATATTGGTATGGCTGTCATAGAATAAAGGTAAGAATTTGATCATTCAGAAATAACTGGATCCTACATTATCTTCCCTTCACCACAAATTAAAAAAAGACCTCATAACAGAAAACTCACTATCAGAACTAATATTTACATGCTATGCACTGAAAGATCACTGTAAGACTTCGAACATCATGTGTACACTTCCCTAGAATAAAAATAAGTACAATATTCAGTCTAACTTGGTATTGCTGGACATTTTTGTTTGTCCTGAAATGTGCTCTTTAATTTTGTGATACTTCAAGGCAAAAAAATATATATATTTAAAAAAAATGTGCACAATGAATTAGTAGTGAAAAGGGGGGGGGGGGGGTTCTCATTAGAATTTGAGGAAGAGGAAAGGTGTGGCTTAGCAAATATGTTAAGGATGTTTTGTTAGAAAATTATACTGTCTATTTGATATATTTAAATATTCGTATTCAAAATCATATCTGTTTCATGTTATCTGATATAGTGGTGCTTGCCATTTAAATGTTCAGATACCCGAGATAATTCATGTTTCCTACACTATCAAAATGGAACACGTCATATGACAGGAAATATGCCCAGATCATCACACTGTTGTCAATATACTTTCTTGTTAATAGGAAGCTGTTAGGCTTTGCGAGTCGCATTTTGCACATACAAGGCAGCCCATTCATTTGAATGGACTGCCATTCCTCATCAAATGCAAGGAAAAGGTCCCTGCAACATTTTAGAAGCCCACGCAGGAACTGCAAGTGCATTACGGTTTCCAGTGTGGAAGCAATTTCCAGTGCGTGCAGTGTGCCATTGGAATTAATGGCACCCACACGCATCCAGAGCATTTTTCTGTGCGGGTGATTGCGTCAGCGGGAATAGATGCAGACCCACAGTGGGAACCACCCGCACAATTGTGAACCTAGGTTTAATATGAAATTCTGTATGTTTATTTTTGTTTCAAATACAGATATGTTTTTGTTTGTATTTGTCCAACAAGTTTTCATTTCAATTTATCAGGTTTTTGTACATTCATACAAGTAACAGTAAATTATCCACCTGCATATATGACTATATTCCCATAAAAGCTGACTTTATTAAGATACACAGAGCTCATGCTGATGTGTTTTGGATTGAGTAAGCCTTAAAGCGTAACTAAATTCAAGAATGAAAATGTAACATATTGTAGTATACCAGTCCTTGGATGTGGTGGCTGTACTAGTTTACTTTTCATATTCAGGCTATATTTTTTTACTTTGTTTTTGCCTGCTGATGCTGATTCTTCCAGCAACACACTTCCTGTTCTAGGGTGACAATACTCATTCACTGTACAGTATCTATGGAGAAGCAACATTGTCATCCTA